ATTAAAGGATAATAAGGGAACATAACAAACAGCTTCACATGGCCAGGCGCGCGGTAGCTCACGCCTGTAATCCTAGCACTCTGGGAGGCCGAGGCGGGTGGATTGCTCCAGGTCAGCAGTTCGAAACCAGCCTGAGCAAGAGTGAGACCGTCTCTACTATAAATAGAAAGAAATTAATTAGCCAACTAATATATATACAAAAAATTAGTAGGGCATGGTGGCTCATGCCTGTAGTCCCAGCCACTTGGGAGGCTGAGGCAGGAGGATTGCTTGAGCCCAGGAGTTTGAGGTTGCTGTGAGCTAGGCTGATGCCATGGCACTCACTGGGCAACAAAGCGAGACTGTCTCAAAAAAAAAAAAAAAAAAAAAAAAAAAAACAGCTTCACACCAATAAATTCAAGAACAGATGAAACAGAAAATCCTTGAAAGATACAAACTACTAAAGCTCGGTCAAAAAGATACGGATAACCTGAGTAGCTCTTTACCTATTAAAGAAATGAAATTTATAGTTAATAACTTTCCCACAAAGAAAAGTCCAGGCCCAGATAGTTTCAGTGGTGAATTCTACCAAACATTTAAGGAAGGAATACCAATTCTACACAATATCTTTCAGAAAATAGAAGAGGAGAGGACACTTCCCATTTCATTTTATGAGGCCAGCATTATGTTAATGTCAAAACCAAAGATAGCACAAAAAGGAAAACTGCAGATCAGTATCCCCCATGAACAGAGACACAAATATCTTCAGCAAAACATTAGCAAAGCAAATCCAGCAATATATGAAAAGAATGATATATCACGTCTAACTGAAGTTTATTCCAGGAGTTCAAAGCTGGCTCAACATTGAAAAATCAACCAGTATAATCACCACAATAACAGACTAAAAAAAAAGGACATTATTATTTTTATGGATGTAGGAAAAACATTTAACAAAATCTAATTCATAATAACAAGTCTCTGGAAACTAGCAATACAGGGGAACTTCCTCAATTTGGTAAAAGGCACCTGCAAAAAAGCCTACAGCCAACATATTTAAAAGGCAAAAAGCTGAATGCTTTCCCCCTAAGATCAAGAAAAAGTTATAGAAGTCTGCTGTCATCATTTCTATATAATATTTATAACACTGCAGGTTCCAACTGCAAACAAGGCTACTAGAACTAACAAGTGAGTTTAGCAAAACTACAGGATACAAAAATCAATAAAATCAATTGACAAACTAGTTCTAAAATTGATATAGAAAAGCGAAGGCCCTAAAATAATCACAACAACTCTGAAAAAGAAAAACAAAGTTGGAGGGCTAAAACTACTATCATCAAGCATCATCAAGTATTGGCATAAAGATGAACAAATATGAAATTCCACATGATCATGGAGAAAACAAAGAAAAAAAAGTATAAATATTAATAAATTTAAAGTAAAAAGAAAAAAATTAAGAAAAAAAAGAAAAAGAAAAAAGATGAACAAATAGATCAATGGACAGACTAGAGAATCCAGAAATAGACCTACATAAATCTGGTAAATTGATTTTTGACAAAGTTTCAAAAGTAAGTCAAATGGAATCTGTATACGAGAAAATGAACCATGACATAAACCTCACAACTTGTACAAAATTAACTCAAAATGGATCATAGATCTAAATGTAAAATTACAAAGCTTTTAGAAAAAAACAGAAGAAAATCTTCAGGATCTTAGACTAGGTTAGACTTCTTAGATTTGACACTAAAAGTATGATTTATAAAAGAAAAATTGATATTTGGGATTTCATAAAAATTTTTAAATTTTAGTTCTACAAAATATACTGTAAAGAGAATAAAAGATAAACTACAGATTGCTAGAAAATGTTTGAAAATTACATATTCAACAAAGAATTTGTATCCAGAGACAAAAATAGTACTAGGCTCTTAGCATTGTTTTGAAGACTAAATGAGTTAATACAAGTAAGGCACATATAAACATGATTGCCTGGCACATATAAACATTCATCAAATGTGAACTATTATAACTTTATTATCATTGTTATTATAGTATTCTTTAAAATTGGGAAAATAGAAGCAAGCCAAATGTTCATCAACAGAGAAATTATTAAATTATGTTACATCTTTTATAAGGAATATTTGGCAATGGTTTAAAAAAATGGAGTAAATCTATCCATTTGTACTATCCTGGAAAGATGTCCACAATTTTGAAAAAAGCAGATTGCAGGACAATTAGTATAATATGATCCCATTTGTGCAAGGAGAAAATTATATATTTTCTGGAAATTTTTCTAGACTAAACTGCTAACAGTTGTCCCTGGGGAGGAGAGTAGAATAAGGAGGAGTACAAAGGGAGGGTAGGATGTGGGCAAAATCTGAAAGGAGTCTTTACTTTTCATTCTATTTATTCCTATATTGTTTAAATTTTTACAATAAATATATTTCTGTATTACTTGTGAAACAAAAATATACAAAAGAAAAGAACCAACTATCTTTTAAAAGAGCAATGATAAATAACTTTCTGATTGTCTTGGCTGATGGATTCAAAGTGGATGAAGTGCAAGCTTACCTTGGACTGAAAGATTTGCCTAAAAACAGACTGAGCTTCTATTTGTAACAGCAAACATTGATGGGTGCTGCTTGCTGGCCTAACAGCACAAAGAACTAGGTTATTGCCCTGGTTGTGCTACTAACTAGCTTTGTTATGTACTGTATTATAATTGATAGATTATGGAGTCCTTGAGGACTGGGATCAAGTCTTTTTTCTCTGTCCTCCCATCTGATAACACCAGGCCTAGTTGGGAGTTAGCGCCAAATTAATAGGAGAAAGGAGTTAGTTATTCCTCACCCGAGGAGCCTAATATAAACCAACTTTCCAAGTCGCGTCAAAGTGACATATGATCGCCATCTAGTGGCAAAAAGGGTTTCTGCAGAATTTAGCGAGGAAAAGAAACGGACTTTTTTTTTTTTATTTCGGCATATTATGGGGGTACAGATTTTAAGGTTTCAATAAATGCCCTTCCCCCACACACAAGTCTGAGTTTCCAGCATGACCATCCCTCAGATAGTGCACATGTCACTCATTATGTATGGACTTTTCTTTTTGAGGTGTGTTCCAGGGAAAGATACCTTTGAGCAAAAAAAAAAAAAACAGTGACTATCTAAAAGACTATGATCCACCTTTAAAAAGGTCCCAATCAGCCGGGCGTGGTGGCTCACGCCTGTAATCCTAGCACTTTGGGAGGCCGAGGCGGGCGGATTGCTCAAGGTCAGGAGTTCGAAACCAGCCTGAGCGAGACCCCGTCTCTACCAAAAATAGAAATAAATTAATTGACCAACTAAAAATATATATACAAAAAATTAGCCGGGCATGATGGCGCATGCCTGTAGTCCCAGCTACTCGGGAGGCTGAGGCAGTAGGATCGATGAGCCCCGGAGATTGAGGTTGCTGTGAGCTGGGCTGACGCCACGGCACTCACTCTAGCCTGGGCAACAAAGTGAGACTCTGTCTCAAAAAAAAAAAAAAAAAAAAAGGTCCCAAGATTTATGTCTTGTAGTGTAAGATGACATCTGGGATCTTTTGTGTCATGTTTCCTCTATGACAACCTTATCATTACATACCCCACACATCTCTAAGCTGTGCAGGGTCCACTCTTGCCACACCTCTGTACTACCTAAAAAGAATGAGCCACGTGTGATAATAGGTGTGCACAACCATGCCTCTCCAAAGTTTACAAAACACGAATAAATTCCCAGGCCAGTTTGCTCAGAAGATACAAAACAAGACTGGGAAAAAAATCTTCCATAAACTTTGCCCTCCAGGCTCATCATCTTTCCGAATTATCTACCAGAAAGTGTCACTCTTCCAATATCTCTCATTCCAAAAGACTACAAGGAAACCCACCCTGAGTCAGCACTGCAAGTACCACTCTGTGACAAAAGCCTCACCTGCCCATGCAGGACAAAGGAGTAGTGAGATACTGGACCCTGTGCTTATGGACTCATGGACTCAAAAAAAAAAAGTGATGTAGGGACACATTGGCAATTAATCAGAGAAATATTGGTATTTATACATCTGTGATGTCTACATGCTAAACACAACAATATTCCTGTAAAATGTTGTTCAGCAGAACATGAGTGCAGACATGCACGAGTTTGTTCCTACCACCATGCTATGGAGTTGCAGAGAAATTAGGAACTATGAACAAGATGAATCCATCAAGTTACTCCCAGTGTAAAAAAGGCAAGAAGCTCTAATATCTATTTATATGCAACTCCCTGGGGACTGAAGTGGTTCTTCCTAATGGCTGGAAAATACTAAGTCGCAAAGAGGTCTTCCCGAGGATGCTGATGGAGATAATGAACGTTTGAGCTGTCTGTAGAACGTTTAAAAACGGTAATAGAACGTGTAGGAATATGTGCTCTTCCAAGTGTTCCTAATTTCATACTAGTAAAAGTCAACGGTTCCTGCTGGCACTAGAAAAGCGCGCTGTCAACATAAAGAAAAGCTGAAAAGCAACACGATGAGAGACGAGGTACACCGAGGTCTCCAGACAGGAGTGTCTGGAGACAGCGACAAGAGACAGCACTCCTTACTGTCCAAGGGTAATGCAGGAGCCCCCCTGCCGGCCTGGCCCAGGCCAGTCCCCTCCCGCTGTCAGTCCCCTTCGCTGGGCAATGGGACTCAGAGCCACTTCCCGCCAAAGACAGTGGTACTCTTTCGAGATGTCTCCCTGACTCCTGGGGTTTCAGCTCCAACCCGCCTCCCTCCACTACAGCCAGCGGTGGTCTGGATCCGCCTAGCCACGCGGGCAAGAGTTACCCTGCCCCGGCCCGCTCCCGGGTACCGCGGCGAGGCTGGCTCGACGTACGATTTCGCTTTCTGTCAATCGGCCTCGCCTGCAGTCCCGGGAGCTGGAAGCGGCTGCGTCTGGCTAGCCCAGAGCCCGGGGCCACCGCGCAGCCACCCCGCGGGCGAGCGCCCAGGGCCGCGAAGACCGGGAGAGCGGCTGCGCCCCTACTCACATAGCGCTGCAGCTTCCTCTCGGGGGGCGACTTGACCAGCCAGCCGGTGCACACCGCGTCGCCAGCGCTCATCGTGGCCGCCGCCGCCGTTTCCTCCTCCTGGGCCGGCCGCCCGCGGCAGGAGGAAGTCGGGCCAGGGATCCCGGTGGGGCGGGCCCTGCGCCCGCCTGCCCAGCACCGCCCCGAGCGGCCGCTGAGACCCCCGCCTCCAGCCTCCGCGGTCCCGGGAGGAGACCAGCACAGCCAGGCAGCCCAAGATGATGGGAAAAGGAGCGGACACCGGGTAGCTCCTTCGAACAAGTGCAGTGACGCTAGCGGCAGTGCTTTGGGGGACTCTATGCAGGGCGCCCTGCCCCTCTCACCCGGGGGCCCAGGAGACTGTTCTAAGAGTTGAGCTTGAGTGGCGGGTGAGAGAGCGCACAAAAGGAACCCTGAGACCTAATTCCCCATCTCTGACCCGTGTGAACTAAAATAAAATTTTAAGGCCCATCCCCCCACACACACTGGCTTACTAAATGGACCTCCTTGTGGCCAAAGGAATATCCTAAAACTAAATTGCCTGCCAGGAGGAAGGAGATCAAATATGCCTTATCATGCTCCCCTCCCTTCTTGGAGACTTCCTTTGTAACCCATTAACAGGCCTAAGGGCATGCAAGACAAACCTGCAGGCCCTCAATTTACACAACAAATCTATGTTCCGTGGCTTGGTTCTGATAACAGCTCCTTATGTTAAAACATTCCAAGCCTTTAGACAAAGCTTCAAGTCTTTAACCAATTACAAGCCAAAGAATCTTTAAACTCACCTATAACCTGCAAACTCCCCCCCCCACTTTGAGATGGCCCACCTTTTCGGGCCAAATCAATGTATGCCTCCCACATACTGATTTATGACTTTACCTGTAACCCCTATCTCCCTGAAATGTATAAAACCAAACTGGTAACCCAGCCACAGCGAGTCCACTTGCTCAAGGCTTATTGGGAGTGGTTCTGGGTCATGGTCCTCAAATTTGGCTCAGAGTATATCTGTTTAAAATTATTTTACAGAGTTTGGCTTTTTTTTTTTCCATTGACACCAAGCACTTCAAAAGGGCTCCTCCCTGAAGTCTCAGGGGAAGGAGAGCCCTGAAACCTACCACCCGCATCTGCTGTGTACCGGATTCAGTAAGGAAGAAAAGAAAGATTCCTCTTGGACTTCCCTGTTCCATTTGATTGTTTGCAGAGTACTGTGTTTTTATGCCCCTCCTACAAAGATCATTGTGTTTAGTTATAAGCTTTGCTGGCAAAACTGTTTAAATGTCCTAATGAACCCAAATGACCCAGATTCAAAAGGTTTGCAGTCTCTTTGACTGTAAGATTTTAAAAAGATGACTCTATGCAACTTGCTCATTGGGATGAAAAAAAAATAAAAGTAAAAAAAAAAAAAAAGATGACTCTAAGGTTGATTGTGTCAGGCAGTGTGCTGAGCACTCTAAATAATAACAATAACAATAATAAACACTTAAGATTTATCATGACCTTCCTCAGTGCCAGTTATTATGCTAAGCACTTTACAGGCATTATCTCATTTGATCCACACAAATACCCTATGAAATGGGCCCTATTATTATCTCAATTTTGCAAGTGAGTAACATGAAAAACGGGATGATAATGTCACTTGTCCAGAGCCATATAACTTGGAAGTCATCCATAGACAGCAAAGGCTGTCTCAAGAGCCTATCCTCTTACACACCTCCCTCCATTCCTTGTGGGTACCATCTATGTAATGCTCGGTGGCATCTGCCAGCTCCCTGATCTAGAGTGCTCTTTCCCCTGGGTGCGATGTCTCTAACTTGTAAGTCACACTTGGAAGAAACAAATGACTTACAAAGAGGCTTCTCAACCTGCTATCATACATCCGAAATTTGCAAGGAGATATTGTAAGGCTGGTGGCGGCCCCCTCCCCCCTTCCCTAGATCAAAAAAGAAAAGGCTCATGAGACCAGACCCAACAAGGACCTGCCAAGGACGACTGCCCACTGAAAACTACCAGACGAGGATAAGAAAGTTTTGGCTCCTGGATTCCAAAAATACCGCCAGCCCCTCCTATTTCTCAATGACCACCAAAGGTTGCCCCAGCTCTTCCCGCCAAAAGTCCATAGCCCAGCCCAAACGGTATAAAAGGCCTCACCCCCTTCAAGCAGGAATGACTTCTGGGGCCCTCCTCTCTTGAAGCCCTAGAACCTCATCCGGGAGCAGTAAAAAAAAGGCCATGTGGTTTGGCCCCACTCTTTCTCTCTGTCTTTTCTTTTTGCCACTGCTGAAAAACCTTACAGAGATGAGTATTTTGAATGACATGGCTGGGCCAGCACAATGGCTCACACCTGTAATCCTAGCACTCTGGGAGGCTGAGGTAGGAGGATTACTTGCAGTCAGGAGTTTGAGACCAGCAAAACATTAGACAGCCAACTAAAACTAGAAACAAAAAATTAGCTGGGCATGCTGGCGAGCACCTGTAGTCCCAGCTACTCAGGAGGCTGAAGCAGGAAGATCGCTTGAGCCCAGGAGTTTGAGGTTGCTGTGACCTAGGCTGACGCCATGGCACTCTAGCCTGGGCGACAGAGTGAGACTGTCTCAAAAAAAAAAAAAAAAAAAAAAAAAAAAAGAATGACATGGCTCATTTCTTATTCTATAATTAAGTGGGGTTCAATGGAGAGAACAGGTGTTTCACACAGAAAGGGATTTGATTTAGGGAGGAATTGCAGTGCTGGAGCAACTGGAATCAGGGGTTGCCACTAGAGTTTTGGCTTCACGGTCACACCAGAGCTGCAAAGCAGAGGTTAGGAGACTATTGCTGGCAACACTCACACCTCAGAGCCCACTTCACTCTCATAAGCACTGCAACCATCTGCCTCCTCTCTGTTTTGAAAATCTCACATTAGCGTGTATAATTAGCTAAACCTAATTTACATCCACAAATATAGATTCAAGACAATATTTAATGTCTTTTTTAGATTTCCCACCTCTCCAAATACAAGGATGGTGAAATGAAAATTGAGAGGGAAACTATTTTTTTTTTTTTTTTGGAGATCCAAGTGAGTTCCTGCCCCAGTCGATGTGAGTGCTATGTTCTGTGTCTTAGCCATGTCGATTTGTCAGTCATAATTTTTATATCTCCTTTATTTTTTTATATACTCCTGGCTAAATCATCCTCCTTGCCTCAGCCTCCTGAGTAGCTGGGACTACAGGCATGTGCCACCATGCCCGGCTAATTTTTTCTATATAATTAGTTGGCCAATTAATTTCTTTATATTTATAGTAGAGACGGAGTCTTGCTCAGGCTGGTTTCGAACTCCTGATCTTGAGCAATCCGCCCGCCTCGGCCTCCCAGAGTGCTAGGATTACAGGCATGAGCCACCCTGCCAGCCAGAGAAGAAACTATTACTACATATCCAGCACAGGACACCCTCTCCCGACCAGCTACTCAATATCCCACAACTCCCTTGTACATAAAATAAATTACTATAGCAACAATAACTTATTCACACTAAAACAATGCTATTATATTTTCTATTAACTGAAAAACACTCCCTAAACAGGAGACAAAGGTTCCATCAGGCACAGTAGCCATCTCTAAAGGATAATCAGCCAAGTGCCCAGTGGCTCACGCCTGTAAACTCTGGGAGGCCGAGGCGGGAGGATTGCTCAAGGTCAGGAGTTTGAAACCAGCCTGAGCAAGAGCGAGACCCCGTCTGTTACTAAAAGTAGAAGAAAATTAATTGGCCAACTAAAAATATATATAAAAAAATTAGCTGGGCATGGTGGCACATGCCTGTAGTCCCAGCTACTCGGGAGGCTGAGGCAGGAGGATCCCTTGAGCCCAGGAGTTTGAGGTTGCTGTGAGCTAGGCTGACACCATGGCACTCTAGCCCGGGCAACAGAGTAAGACTTCTGTCTCAAAAAAAAAAAAAAAAAAAAAAAAAGGATAATCATTCTTCTTCTAGTTCAGATACCATCCCATGTCAATATCCTGTAACCTAAATTAAAACATTACAAAGTTAATCTTATCAAGTGATGTCAATAAAACGTAAAAGGGAGGATGAAAAGTTTACACACACACAGCTACAAAATCTTCTTCTATAATTGGTCATAACACTATAATTGGTGTTTATAACTTCTTTTTTCCACTACCTCAACCCAGCCTCCAGCCAGACCTTGGTGAATTTGTTTACTGTGGAGTGACTCACAACGCTTATTCATTATTGTTGATCTTCAGTGTCGTCTTGGCACTTTGGCTTTACTGTATATGCCGCAGAGTCCTTGAATTCAACAGTACTCCCTACCCCTAGTTGTTTAAACAGCATTATCCTTATTTTCTCTGAGACTCAATGGTGAATCATGTGGCAGTTCAGTAAGACCCCATGGGTTTGCCTGTTGATTCAGTGGCTAAAGAATTTCAATGGCCAGGTGGCAGTTTTAGCCCTGCAATTCAATGATCATAAATGCATCCCTTGTGGAAGATTCTCTCTTGGGAACAAACACCTCAACAGTAGAGAATCGACAGTTGTGAAGGATTAGAAAAACACCTCACAGGTGGATAGTAAGTTGCTCTGTGGGCGGGGTCATGCCTGTATCTACACTCTGGGGGCCGAGGAGCGGGTTTCTCGAGGTCAGGAGTTCGAAACCAGCTGAGCAAGGTGGAGACCCCCCATCTTACATTAAATAGAAAGAAATTAATTGCCACTAGATTATTGAAAAAATTAGCGGGCAGGTGGCACATGCCTGTAGTCCCAGCTTAGTCTGTGAGGCTTGGGGGCAGGAGGATTGCTTGAGCCCAGGATTTGAGGTTGCTGTGAGCGTAGGCTTGACGCAGGGCATCACTCTAGCGCCTTGGGAACAAAGTGATGACTCAGTCTCAAAAAAAAAAAAAAGAGTTGCTTCTCTCTTGATCCATGGGCCCATGGATTCTGGCTATGCAGAAACAGAACCATATAATGGTCACCTGGGTTTTTTTGTTTGTTTGTTTGTTTTTTTTGAGACAGAGCCTGGCTTGTTGCCAGGGCTAGAGTGCCCCTGCTGTCAGCCTAGCTCACAGCAACTCATACTCCTGGGCTCAAGCGATCCCTTCTGCCTCAGCCTCCTGAGTAAGGCTGGGACTACAGGATGCCACCATATTCCCGGTATTGTTTTTCTATATTTTTTATTGGCCAATTAATTTATTCGTATTTTAGTGAGACGGGG